GGTGCGTTTGTGAGGCCGAATGACATCACTGTGAACTCGTAGCTTCCGTAGCGGGTGCGAAACGCGGTCTTGTGACAGTCGTCGGCGAAGACCCGAATCTGGTGGTAACCGCCACGCAAGTCGATTTTCGAAAAGTAGCGAGCGCCGCGAAGTTGATCGAGGAGGTCGTCGGTGCGGGGGATTGGATAGCGAGACTTGATGGTCACCCGGTTGAGTGCGCGATAGTCGATACACATGCAAAGCCCGCCATCCTTCTTCGGCGTGAACAGTATTGGGGCTGCGAAGGGAGATGTACTGGGTCGGATAAACCCCTTCTCCAAAAGTCCCTCAATTTGTCGTCGCAGCTCCTCGAGTTCTGGTTGGGTCAACCGCCACTGTGTACGTACAGTCGGCTGCGGGCCAGGCTCCAGCTGGATTTTGTGGTCCTCGGGGCGTTCGGGTGGCAGCCCAGGTGGCGAATCGTCAGGGAAGATGTCCGGGTACTGTTGAATCAGCTCTGCTAAATCAGGTGGTACAGCTGCGCACAACTTCTCGATGTCCTTTCCGTCGGTGTCGGTTGCCAACTCGCGCAAACATACGGCGAACAGCTGCGCGCCTCGGTTGAAGTGGCGAGCAATAGTGATGGCTTTGACGCACGGGGCTTGGATGTAGTCAGGTGTCCATGCAGGCAACTTAATTAGCCCCTCGTGCTTGCTGATGCTGCACGATCCCGTTGTCCAGTCGATGACGGGGTTGTGCCGTCGCAGCCAATCACATCCCAGCAGCACGTCGCAGCCGTCCAACGTTGTCGCGAGAAACTTCATGCTGAAGCCGAAATTGTCGCCGCAGTCGGTCCGAACTGTCCGTGTTTCTTCCAAAATTGCCAGAGGCGTCCCATCCACGAGGCGAGCGTCGATTTCGGGCAGACACCTGTCAAGTTGCAGCTTTAATTTTTTTGCTGTCGCCAAGTTGAAGAGGCTATGGCTGGCCCCTCCGTCGACGAATATTTTCAAGTAATTTTTTAACACTTTGGGTGATCCACATGGTTGTCCCTGTTATTCTGCCGAGTGCGATCGATTGCATGAATCGGAACCACGACTCGGTGGGGATGATGGTGTTCGGGTGACAGAGCACAGTCAGTAAGGGGCCCGTCTGTTACTGACTCTTCCCATTTCCCGGCTCTTTCCCGTCGTTCCTCTTCGCCGGCGTTCTCTCGGGGCAGTCTGCATATTTGTGACCCGGCTTCCCGCACTCATAACACAACCCTGTGTAGGGGCGGTCTGGTGCATGGACTCCGTTGATCGTGGCCCGTTGGGTCTGGCCGCGAAAACGATTTCCCTCCCGGAAACTTGACCTCGCGTACTGCATCAGCGCGTCCGTGGATTCTGCCAACCGTGCTGCTTCCAGGAACGATGCCGGGCGGCATCGGCGCACCTCATACTGTATCTCGTATTTAAGGCCGCTGACGTACTTGTCTAACCGCTCCGCTTCCGACATGTCGTCCACTTGGTCGGCGAGGGCCATGAAATTTGCTGTGTAGTCTTGGACAGATGCCAACTGCGACCAGGTACGTAGTTTCATGCGAGCTTGTTCCGAGCCGGATATGTGCTCGAAGCGATCTCGTAAGGCTGCGCCCCACTCCTTTCACGTGCGTATCTTGGTCACGCCGAATATCGGTGCTGCCACTTGATTAACCGTCGTTGAAGTCCCGTCTGCCGCATGTGTCACACTTGTCGGGGTCCCCGTGTCCAAGGTTCGGCGCCACCAATGGCCTCAAAATAAATTTCGAGGGTCGCCACGAATCGTCGAACGTCAGATCCTTTCGCGCTTGGATCGAACGCTTCGGGGAGCCTCGAGCGAGCTGCTTTGAGGCTCGACGAAAGGTGGTGCCATTGGTCCATGAAATGTCGGTGTCGCCACCGCTGCTGCTATAGTCGCTGCTACGTTCGCTGCTGCATTGACTGCTGCGGTGGCGGCTGCGGATTGGTTTGTCAGAAGAGCCTCGATTCGCCGAATCGCCGCCTGCGTCTATTCCACGTAGGCGCAAAGGCTGACGATGTCGCTTGTCGTCGCATAATTGTCGCCCTGGCCCTCCATGCCTGACATTGCGCGTTCGAAAATGGAAAGCGAGGAGGAGTGAAAAACACGGAACCGGTTTTACGTACCCAAAATCGGTGTTTAATAGTCATCGCCCCCGCGGTCTTTTAAGACTCAGTTTCAGCGGTCGAAAAACTGTCGCGTGAAAACGGGCTCTGATTACTAAGTGTGAGGATCTAGGATCGAGCTCAGGAAAGAGAGTTGTAATTCAATGATTCACCTGGGTACAACACGAGGCTATATATAGTCTAGACACAAGGCCTAGTAACCAGGTGTTACGCGATGGTTCTGAGGGTCGCGAAGCGTCCCGAATGGAGCCTTCCCGAATTCGGTAGAAGGCAATTCAGTGGCAACCGAAAAGCCTGGAATCTGGTGCACGCAACCTAGCTCGGTGCTATAACTATAATAAAATGTAGGAAAGGACCTAATACATGAAATCAAACAAAAGCATGCATGGAAATAGAAACTTAAGCTAGAAATAGCGTAATAAAGTAAGGGTAAGCAAGTGTAGCTGGCATAAGCCGTCGTACTCTCACAGGCAGACTCAAGAACGTCGATAGTAAGCTCGCTATGGTGCTTCACAAGAAGCGCGTCACTAATCGAGGCAAGGCGGTCAGGGAGGCTGTCAAACATTATACATGTTTATATTGTGTAGGCTATAGTGGGTTTAGCCTTAGGGGGTACAACTTTGCTAGGGTTTCCTACTTGTATCACCCTGTTGACTAGTTTCATTCATCCTCGTGCAGTACTAGATTCTAACATGGTATCCGACGCTTAGGTCAGGACCTAGGACCCATGTTGGTTAGGGCCCACCGTTCCGCCGCGCCGTCGAGCGCCTCGCTTACTAGCGCCGTCGAGCGCCCCTTCTCCCAGTGCCGTCGTGCGCCCCTCCTCCTCGCGCCGTCGAGCGCCCCACCTGCTAGCGCCGTCGTGCGCCCCTAGGACAGCCGCACGCGCCGCCCGTCAGCCGCACGCGCAGGCGCCCACTCAGCCGCACGCGCAACTGCCAATGCAGCCGCACGCGCAGCCGCCTGCACAGCTGCACGCGCAGCTGCACACTCGGCCGCACGCACGACCGCACGCACGGCCGCCCACTAGGTCACACGCACGACCGCACGCGCAGCCGCACGCGCAACCGCACGCGCAGACGCACGCATTGCTGCAAGCGCAGCCGCCCGCGCAACCACACGCGCAGCCGCCCACGCAGCCGCATGCGCCGCTGCACGCTAGGAGGCGCGCACAGCCACACGCGCAGCCGCACAAGCAAGCCGCCTTGCCGCCCTGTCCGAGCCGCGCCGCGCCGCCCTGCTCGAGCCGCGTCGCGCCGCCCTGCCCGAGCCGCGCTGTGCTGTTCCATGGCTAGTCCTGCAGTTCTAGCCTTCGATACTGAGGGCCGCCCGCTCCGTTTTGACACCTGGCTCGAGGACCTCCACCTCTTCCTCCAGCTCACTGCTAAGGAGGATATTTCGTTGTATGACCATGCGCTAGGCCTCGCTCCTGCCCCTGCTGCGACTGCTTACAGTACTGCCCGCTCCCAGTGGCAGACTCGTGATACCCACTTTCGCTTCGCGATTCGCGACTCCCTGCTGGTAGATGAACGCGAGCACTTTAGCCAGCAGAAGACTGCTCACTCACTATACAAAGCTGTAGTTGCGCGCTACTCCTCGCCTGCCTCAGCTTCGCTAGGTCGCCTCTTGTTGCCCTACCTGTTCTCGGACCTGTCCACCTTCTCTACCATTGCTGACCCTCATTACTCACCTCCGCGCTACTGAGATCCGCTTCCGTGCTGCCATGCCCGCTGAGTTTCTTGCCAGGAACCCCCCCTCGCTGTGGCTCACTCTTTACCACATGGTCACCCGTCTCCCTGACTTCCTTCGTGCGGTCAGGGATGTCAGATTTATATGACTTAGCTGCTGTAGGCTATAGTGGGGTAGCACATATGGGGTACAGCTTTCTAGGGTTTGTACTTGTACCCAACTTTCCCTTAGTCTTTTCATTTTCTCGTTCAACTTCACATGGTATAGAACAGGTTCCCCTGTGGGAACTGTTCCTAGGGCCCACCGATTTTTTTTTCCTGCCAGGAGCGCGCTCAGCCTCTGCCCGAGTCGCGCTCCTCTCTCACGACCCCGTCGCGCCGCCCTTACGACCCCGTTGCGCCGCCTTAGCGGCCCCGTCGCGTCGCGCCTCCCTAGCGGCCCCGTCGAGTTGCCCTTGCGACCCCGTCGCGCCGCCCTCGCGGCCTCGTCGCCCGCCCACGCGGCCCCGTTCTGCCGCCCTCGCGGCCCCATCGCGCCGCGCCGCCCTTGCGGCCCTTTCGCACCGCCCTCGCGGCCCTTTCGCACCGCCCTAGCGACCCCTCCACGCCGCCCTCGCGGCCCTTTCGCACCGCCCTAGCGACCCCTCCACGCCGCCCTCGCGGCCCTGTCGCCTACCCTTGCGGCCCCGGCGCCGCTCTTCCGGCCCCGGCGCCGCCTCTGCTGGCCACGTCGCCCCACCCTTGCGACCCCGCGGCCCCACCCTTAAGGCGCCGGTCGCCACCCTTCGTGGCCCCGCCACCGCCCTCAGCGGCCTCGTCGCCGCCCCACCCGGCCCCGCCACCGTCCCTTCCGCGGCCCTGCCACCCTACGCGGCCCCGCCGTCACCACCGAGCCGCCGGCGCCGCTGAGCCGCCGTTGCCGCTGTGCTGCCGAGCCGCCGCTGCTGCCGAGCCACCGCTGCTGCCGAGCCGCCCGAGCCACCCGAGCCGCCCGAGCCGCCGAGCCGCCGCTGCTGCCGAGCCACCCGAGACACCGAGCCGCCGAGCTGTAGTTGCTGCCGAGCTGCCGAACCACCAAGCCGCCCGAGCCGCCCTGTTCGGTAAGAGCGGCACCTCTACCACTGCGCTGCCCTTAGCCTACTGCTCGCGCTGATAGTCTACTGCTGTCATGGCTACCCCCAGCGTCCTCGCTTTTGACGCTGAGGTTCGGGCCATTGACTTTGACGTCTGGGTGCAGCTTTTCCTACAGTGCGATAGGGCAGACGGTCTCTCCCTCTTTGACCTCACTTCTGGTGCCTCTCCTGCCCCTGCTGCTGATGCTGACGCCACTGTTTGCTCACAGTGGGCCACACGCGATGCTGCTGGACGTCTTGCTGTGCGTCGCCACTTGCCTACCTCTGAGCGTGCACACTTAAGCCAGTACAAGAGTGCTAGGACCTTGTACGACGCTGTAGTTGCACGCTACTCTTCCCCTGCCACTGCTGCACTTAGCCGCCTGATGCTACCGTACCTCTTCCCTGACCTCGCTGCTTTTCCCACAGTCCCTGACCTCATTACGCACCTTCGCACTAGTGACATTCGCTACCGCGCTGCCCTTCCCGCTGAGTTCTGCGCTAAGAACCCCCCCCCTATGTACATCACCCTCTACTGCATAGTCACCCGGCTCCCTGAAACCCTTCGCCCGGTCAGGGACCACTTCCTCTCTGTTTGCCCCACCACCCTCACCGTTGACCTCCTCGAGGAGCGCCTCCTAGCAGCAGAGAAGAGCATAGTCGCTGTAGCAGCCTCTCGTGGTGACCCTCGTGCCCCTGTCTTTGAGGGGTGCTCCCCCTCTCCTCTCTTGCCATCTGTTGCCTCTGCTGCTGCGGCCGACCTCGTTGGTCTTGAGTCGGTCGGTACGGCGTCTGCCCCTAGCGGGAGACGCCGCACCGGCAAGGGCAAGGGGGGCAGGGGCGCTGGAGGAGCTAGCGGGGGCGATGGAGGCGGCGGTGGAGGCGGCGGAGGGGGTGGGGGTGGTGGTGGGGGTGGTGGCGGGGGTGGGGGCGTCGGTGGCGGCAGTGGAGGCGGAGGCGGCGGCGGCGGTGGCGGTGGGAGCGGAGGTGGCGAAGGTGGCGGCGTTGGAGGTGGCGGCGGTGGAGGAGGCGGCGGCGGAGGAGGTGGAGCTGGTCGGGGTGGCGCTGCGCAGAGGGTCGGCTCCACTGGTGGTCAGCGCCAGCAGCAGCAGCAGCGTACTTGTGAGATCCCCCTCCCTCAGCAGCTTCGTGTGTGGTACTCTGCACGCCAGCGTGTGGGGGTAGTGGTCCGTGCACCTACGTCCTACGCACCGGCGACCGCGCGGGTGAGCCGTGCGGGGGTGCGCACTCCACCCAGCGATGCTTTGGCCGCCTGACGGACGCTTGGCGTCACCAATTTCCTGAGGCCATTGATATCCCTCGCTGGGGTGAGCTATCTAGGGCGGGAGTAGCTATCTTTGACCTTGACTTTGATGCTATTCTTGCTGCCATGTATGCTGTGACTATTAGTGATGAGGGTGACTGTTACCGGTGTTTTCCGCCCGACCCGGGCATTGGGACTGCTGCTCTAGGTACTGGTGAGGCTGCTGCTCTAGGTGCTAGCGAGGCTGCTGCTCTAGGTGCTAGTGCGTCTGCTTCCTAAGGTGCTGGTGAGTCTGCTCTCTCAAGTACTGTGTCGGCTTCGGCCTCCCACACCTTCACCCTTGACTCGGGGGCTTCTCGCTCCTTCTTTCGAGACCGCACCACACTCACGCCGCTTGGTCAGCCAGTTGGAGTCTCTCTGGCAGACCCCTCTGGGGGTCTTGTCCTTGCTCACTTCTCCACTGTCTTCCTGTGTCCGGCAGCCCCCTCTGGCACCCTGTCTGGTCTTTACCTCCCCTGGTTCTCTACGAACTTGGTGAGTGGTGCTGACCTACAGGATGCGGGGGTTCACCAGTTCACTCCTGCGAGCCAGCGGGTGACCCACTGCACGAACGCTCGGACGGGCCTACACTTGACCACGTTTACACGTCGGCCGGGGTCGAGCCTGTACACATTGACCACTGAGTCTCCTCCAGTCACTGCGTCTGGTCAGGCAGCTGCGGCGGGTCAGGTGTTTGCTGCAGCGTCCAGGTCTGGTCCTGAGTCTGCCCCCTGCTCGTGTCGTCTCCTGTCTCACGAGACTCTCCTCTGGCACCACCGCCTTGGTCACCCCTCCCTGCCTCGTCTCCGAGGCATGGCCTCCCGTGACCTTGTCTCTGGTCTTCCCCGGTCCCTCCCTCCCCTTCCTCCGGGGCCTGCCCCTACCTGCGTCCCCTGTGTCGAGGGGCGGCAGCGTGCTGCCCCTCACTCCTCCTAGTTTCCTCCGGCAGAGGCCCCGCTGCAGACGCTTCACATGGACGTGTGGGGCCCAGCCCGCGTCTGTGGACAGGGTCACGAGCGCTACTTCGTGTTGGTGGTTGACGACTACTCCCGTTACACCACAGTCTTCCCCTTGCACAGCAAGGGTGATGTCACTGAGGTGTTGATTGACTGGATCCGCGCAGCTCGTCTCCAGCTCAGGAAGAGTTTCGGCTCGGACTTTCCTATTCTGCGTCTGCACTCTGACAGAGGCGGAGAGTTCTCCTCTAGCCTTCTGCGAGCCTACTGTCGTGCACGAGGCATCCGCCAGACCTTCACGCTTCCGGACTCTCCACAGCAAAATGGGATTGCTGAGCGCCGCATTGGCATGGTCATGGACGTCGCCCGTACGTCCATGATGCATGCGGCTGCCCCCCATTTTCTGTGGCCGTTTGCGGTTCGGTACGCGGCGCATCAGATCAACCTTCAGCCCGAGGTCTCCATGCCGTAGACCTCCCCAGCTTTGCTGTGGACGGGGAAGGTTGGCGATGCGTCTGCGTTCCGTGTCTGGGGATCTCGGGCGTTTGTCCGCGACTTGTCTGCGGACAAGCTGTCCCCTCGTGCTGCTCCCTGCGTCTTATTTGGCTTTCCCCCTGACGCACCAGGGTTGCAGTTCTCCCAGGACGTCACGTTTGACGAGTCGGTCCCCTAATACCGTCTCTTCCCCTACCGCACTCCGTCCCTCCCCCCGCCACCGCTCTTCCTTGTGCCAGGTCCCCCCCCGGTAGACCCCCTTCCCCCTCAGGATCCTGCCCCTTCAGGTGTGTCCCAGGTAGACGCAGTCGAGCCTGTGGAGGTTGCTGGTGACTTTGGTGCTGCTGAGGGTGCTGAGCCTCGGGGTGCTGACTCCGGGGGTGCTGAGCGTGTGGGTGCTACGCCTGGGGGTACTGTGTCTGGGGGTGCTGAGCCTGGGGGTGCTACGACTGGGGGTGCTGAGCCTGGGGGTGCTACACCTGGAGGTGCTGAGCCTGGGGGTGCGGAGCCTGAGGGAGCTGGGCCTGCTCGTGTGGCGTCTGGCGGTGCTGGGCCTGGAGGTTCTCCGGGTGCTCCGTCTCGACGGGAGCCACTCTCTCCATAGGAGGTGCGTGAGTGGTTTGCCCGGCGTTGGAGGCGTGCTTTTGAAGTTGGAGATTCTTCGGTTGCTGAGGGTGCTGGTGCCACGGGTCCCGAAGGTGTTCGTACTAGGAGTACTGGAGCTGCTGGGCCTGCGGGTACTACTGGAGCTGGAGCCACTGCGTCTTCTCGTGGTCCGACTGGAGCAGGAGTTGTTGAGGGTGTTGGCGCCGGCGGTACTGGAGATGGTCCTTCTGGGGGTACTACTGGTGCTGCTGGAGGTCCTGGAGCTACTCGAGCTGCTGGGGGTACTGGAGCTGGAGGTGCTGCTGGCGCTGGTGCTACCGCTAGGGGTGCTGGAGCTGTCCCTGCTATGTCTGGAGTCGCTGCGCGGCCTCGGCCGTACTTTGTTCCGCTCCTTGAGCAGGTTCTTGGTCTCCCGCCTTTTACTGGTCCTCCTTCTCCCTTAGAGTGTCCACATCCTCTCCCGTCACAGTTACAGTTACAGCCGGCCTCCCCACTGCCTGCTCCTTCTCCCTACACTGGTCGTACTGGAGGTCTTGCTGAGCGTCGTGAGCCTGCGTCTCGTCCTGCGTCGCCTGTCCGTGCTGCTCGCGCTGGTGGTCGTGGTTCGCGTCCGCGTCCTCCCGCTGTGCCCGGCACGCACTGGATGTCTCTGCGTCCGTCCACTGCTCCTCAGCGTGCCCCTTTGCCTTCTCCTCCTGAGTCCTCTCTTCCTACTCTTGCCGACCCGGAGTCGGACTCTCTTTGTGCTGCCCGTCCTACTGTCACGCGTCTCCTGGCTACTGTCGTCACTGACCCTTCTTTCGATTCCACTACTGCGTCTGCCCTAGTTGCTGAGCTCGTCGACTTTGCTGCTCGCTGTCGCCTAGACTACGCTGCTAATCTTGTCGCTGAGTCTGAGTCTTTCTGTCCTCCGTCCGTCGGGGGTGAGTGTGCCCTTGGCACGGACGTCCTTTAGGACAGGCAGGAGGAGTTCCAGTGTTTGGCTGCTGCTTCACCTCATCTCGTGTCCGTACTGCTTACCCCTGAGGGAGACCCGGATGCACTTGACATCCCGACTCCGCGCTCTTACGCGGAGGCGATAGAGGGTCCCTACTCCTCTCAGTGGCAGGCAGCTATGGACGTAGAGATGGCTTCCTGGAAGTCCACAGGCACCTACGTCGACGAGGTTCCCCCGCCTGGGGCGAACATCGTCATTGGCATGCGGATTTTCAGGGTGAAGCGGCCGCCGGGTTCTCCGCCTGTCTTCAAGGCGCGTTACGTGGCTCGTGGCTTCAGTCAGCGGCAGGGAGTTGACTACTTTCAGACCTTCTCTCCCAACCCGAAGATGACCACTCTTCGAGTACTGCTGCACATAGCTGCTCACCGTGACTACGAGCTACACTCTCTTGACTTCAGCACTGCTTTCTTGCTGGGCAGCCTGCACGAGGAGATCTGGCTGCGCCGCCCACTTGGCTTCACTGGGACTTTTCCTCCTGGCACCCAGTGGAGCCTCCGGCGGCCAGTCTACGGTCTCCGCCAGGCACCGCGTGAGTGGCACGACACACTGAGGACTACGCTTGCGGCTCTTGGGTTTGCTCCCTCTACTGCCGACCCGTTGCTGTTTCTGCGCACCGACACTTCTTTGCCGCCGTTCTACATCCTCGTGTACGTCGACGACTTGGTCTTTGCCACAGCTGACACTGCTGGACTCGCCCACGTGAAGTCCGAGCTGCAGAAGAGACACACGTGCACAGACCTGGGTGAAGTGCGCAGCTACCTTGGCTTGCAGATCAGCCGAGACAGAGCACGCCACACCATTACCCTGACTCAGTCACACATGGTGCAGCACGTCCTTCAGCGCTTCGGCTTCACGTACTCCTCGCCTCAGGCCACTCCTCTACCTACTCGCCACTCGCTCTCAGCTCTGCCTTTTGATGAGTCCGTAGAGTCGAGTGGCCCGTACCCAGAGCTTGTTGGCTGCCTCATGTACCTGATAACCTGCACACGACCTGACCTTGCATACCCTCTTAGCATTCTCGCACGCTATGTTGCTCCTGGGAGACACAGACCGGAGCACATGGCTGCAGCGAAGAGGGTGTTGCGCTACTTGTGAAGTACGTCGGGCATGGGGCTTATGCTTGGTGGGCAGAGTCCAGTGGTCCTCACTGGGCACGCAGACGCTTCTTGGGCTGACGACCAGGCTACGCAGCGGTCGTCACAGGGTTACACCTTCAGCCTTGGTTCCGGCTCTGTTTCGTGGCGGTCTACCCGCTCGTCTTCTGTTCTCGGCTCCAGTTGTGAGGCTGAGATCTACGCAGGGGCCATGGGTGCAGAGGAGCTACGCTGGCTCACCTACCTGCTGATTGACCTCGGAGAGCCGCCTCGTTCTCCTCCAGTGCTGTACGTAGACAACAAGGCCATGCTGGCCTTGTGTCGGGAACAGAGACTGGAGCACAGAACGAAGCACATTGCTCTTCGCTACTTTCTTGCTCGTGAGCTACAGCACCGTGGTCAGCTGCGCCTTGCGTACGTGGCCTCTCAGGCCAACACTGCTGATATCTTCACCAAGGCACTTGCGCCTTGTGATCATCAGCGCTTCTGTACTCAGCTCGGTCTTGTGCCTACCTTGCCTCACTTGCTCACCCCTTGACCTTGTTTGTACTGTTACATATATATATACACCTGCTCTTGCTTGTTTAGCCTTATATATATATGTAATCCTGCATGTGAACTGGCCTTGTGGCCTTGAACTTGTGCTCGGAATGTGTGGTGACGTTGTGATCCACCCTGAGCTTGCTTTGCTTTGCTTGACTGGTCTTGTAACCCCTTGTCCTCCCCCACTTTGCCTATGGGGGTGTGTCAGATTTATATGACTTAGCTGCTGTAGGCTATAGTGGGGTAGCACATATGGGGTACGGCTTTCTAGGGTTTGTACTTGAAACCAACTTTCCCTTAGTCTTTTCATTTTCTCGTTCAATTTCACAAGGGACACCTTCCTTGCTCTCTGCCCCTCGAGCTCACCATTGACCTGCTTGAGAAGCACCTGATGGCAGCCGAGACTAGTATAGTAGCTGTCGGTTCGTCTCGCGGCGATCCCCGCACTCCTTTCTTCGAGGGGTGTTCCCCCTCCCCTCTTCTCCCCTCTGTCGCCTGTGCTGGTGTTGTCGACCTTCTTGGTGCTGAGAAGGTCGGGACTGCGTCCATTGCGAGTGCAAGGCGCCACAGCGGCAAGGGCAAAGGGGGCAAGGGGGTGGTTGCGGCAGCGGTGGAGGAGGTGGCCGGGGTTGGGGCGGTGGTGGTGGCGGCAGTGGACGCGGTGGCGGTGGTGGCGGTGGTGGTCGTGGTGGCGGCGGTGGTGGTGGAGCTCGTGGAGGCTCTGGCGGTGGCCAGCGCCAGCAGCACACCCTGTCGCCCCAGGAGCTTCGTGAGTGGTACTCTCAGCGTGGGGGGGGAGGTCTTAGCTGCCCGTATGTCATCCGCACAGGTGACTGCACTGGTCAGACGTGTGGGAGGGCACACACCCTGCAGCGCTGCTTCTCCCGCCTCGACGATGCCTGGCGCACCCAGTTTCGGGCTGCTACTGAGCTGCCCCGCTGGTTTGATCTGATCAAGAAAAACATTGATGTCTATGCTCTTGACTTTGATGCTATCCTTGGTGCCATGTATGTGTTGTCTGCTAGTGGAGAGGGTGACTGTTACCTGCGTGTCCCGCCCGACCCGGGCATTAGGACCAGTGAGGCTGCTGCACTAGGTACTAGTGTGTCTCCTGCCCCAGGTGCTGGTGAGCCTTCCACTCTAGGTGCTAGTCTGTTTGCTGCCTCAGGTGCTGGTGAGGCTGCTACTCTAGGTGCTCGTGAGTCTGCGCCCGCTGCGTCTACTGAGGCACTGCACACCTTCACACTGGACTCAGGTGCTTCCCGCTGTTTCTTTCGTGACCGCACTGCCCTTGAGCAGCTTGCTCGACCGGTTGCAGTCTCCCTCGCTGACCCCTCTGGGGGTCCGGTCATTGCAACCTCCTCCACTATCCTTCATTGTCCTGCGGTCCTGTCGAGCACACTCTCAGGCCTCTACCTCCCCTCGTTCTCTACGAACTTGGTGGCGGGTAGTGCGCTCCAGGATGGGGGTGTCCACCAGTTCACCCATGCCTACGAGCGGGGGACACACTGCACGTGTGCTAGGACGGGTCGCCACCTGGCTACTTTTACTCGGCAGCCGGGGTCGGACCTGTACACACTGACCACTGAGTCACCTCAGGTAGCTGCGTCTGCATCTGCGTCTAGTCAGCTGTCGGCCCCCTACTCGTGTCGCTCCCTGTTGCACCAGACCGTCCTATGGCACCACCGCCTTGGTCACCCGTCAGTGCAGCGTCTTCGTGGCATGCACTCCCGGTACCTTGTCTCTGGTTTTCCCAGGGTTCTCCCTCCCCTACCACCCTCGCCTGCTCCTCCCTGTCTTCCCTGTGTCGAGGGGCGGCAGCGCGCCGCTCCTCACTCCTCTTTTCCCCCGACGACTGCTCCCCTGCAGACGCTCCACATGGACGTGTGGGGCCCAGCCCGCGTCCGTGGACAGGGCCACGAGAGGTACTTCTTGATAGTTGTTGACGACTACTCGCGCTACACCACGGTCTTCCCCTTGCGCACCAAGGGTGAAGTCCCTGAAGTTTTGATCCCTTGGATTCGCGCTGCTCGTCTCCAGCTCAGCGAGAGGTTCCACTCGGACTTTCCTGTCCTGCGTCTGCACTCTAACAGAGGTGGGGAGTTTTCCTCCGACCTCTCGAGGGCCTTCTGTCAGGGGGAGGGCATTGAGCAGTCGTTCACGCATCCGGCCTCTCCACAGCAAAATGGGGTTGCTGAGCGCCACATTGGCTTGGTCATGGAGGTCGCTCGTACCTCTTTGATTCATGCGGCTGCCCCCCACTTTCTGTGGCCATTTGCGGTCCAATACGATGCGCATCAGCTCCACCTCTGGCCCCGTGTCTTCGTTCCGGAGACTTCGTCGACACTGCGTTGGACGGGAGAGGTTGAAGATGCGTCGGTGTTCCGGGTCTGGGGATCTCGTGCTTTTGTCCGCGATACGTCCGCGGACAAGCTCTCCTCCCACGTTGTTCCTTGTGTCTTCCTTGGCTTCGTCCCGTACGCGTCTGGTTGGCAGTTTTACCACCCCACCTCGCGCCGTGTCCTGCCCTCTTAGGATGTCACTTTCGACGAGTCGGTCCCCTACTACCGCCTCTTCCCCTACCGCCCTGCCCCGCTCCCCCCCCCTCCTCTCTTCCTCGCACCAGGTGCTGCTGTGGTAGACCCCCTCCCCCCTCAGGGTGCCGCTCCCTCAGGTGTTTCCCAGATAGACCCGGTTGAGCCTGTTGAGGTAGCGGTCGACTCTTGTCCTGCTAGGGGTGCTGAGCCTGAGCGTGAGGAGCCTAGGGGTGCGGAGCTTGGGGGTGCTGAGCCTGAGCGTGCGGAGCCTAGGGGTGCTGAGCCTGAGAGTGCTGAGTCTAAGGGTGCCTGAGGGTGCTGAGTCTGGGGGTACTGAGCCTGGGGGTGCTGAGTCTGGGGGTGCTGAGCCTGAGGGTGCTGAGTCTAGGGGTACTGAGCCTGGGTGTGGTGCGACTGACCGTGCTGCGCCTGGTAGCGCTCCCTCTTCACATCAGCTGCGGGAGTGGTAGTCGCGGTACTGCAGCCTCTAGTGGGGCGCTTCTGGGGCCAGGGGTACTACTGGAGCTGGTGCTCGTGGTTCCCCGCCTAGGCGGGAGCTGCCCTCTCCCCAGCGGCTTTGAGAGTGGTACGCTCGGCGCTGCAGTCCCCGGAGTGGTGCTACTGGTGTTTTGGACCCTGGAGCTGATGCTGGAGACACTGCTGGTGCTGGAGGTGCTGCTAGTGCTGGAGCTTCTGGAAGCACTACTGGTGCTGGAGCTACTGGAGGTGCTGCTGGTGCTGGAGCTGCTGGAGGTGCTGCTGGTGCCGGTGCTACTGGAGCTGCTGGAGACGCTGCTGGTGCTGGAGCTGCTGGAGTCGCTGGTCCTGGAGGTGCTCGTACTGGTGGTACTGGAGCTGCTAGGACTGGAGCTGCAGCGGGAGTTGGAGCTGGAGGTGCTGGAGCTGCTGGTGCTCTTGGTGGTGCTGCGGGAGTTCTAGCTGGAGACCCTGGAGCTCAGGGTGCTGGAGCTGTCCCTGCTGGTTCAAGAGGTGTTGCGCAGCCGCGGCCATACTACGTTCCGCTCATTCAGCAGGTTCTTGGCCTCCCGCCCTCTACTGGTCCTAATCCTCCCCTACTGAGTCCACCGCCTGTCCTGTCGCAGTCACAGTTACAGCCTGCCTTTCCGCTGCCTGGTCCTTCTCCTTACGCTGGGCCGACTAGAGGTCCTGCGGAGCGACGTGAGCCAGAGTCTCGTCCTTCTTCGCCTAAGTCTCGTCCAGAGTCGCCTGTCCGCGCTGGTCGTCGTGTTCCGGGCGAGCGTCCTCCTCCTGTCCCTGGCACTCACTACATGACTCTGCGTCCTTCCACTGCTCCACAGTGTGTCTCAATGCCGTCTCCTCCTGCGTCCTCTCTTCCTGTCGGTCCGGACCCGGATTCTGACTCCCTCTGAGCTGCCAGTCCTACTGACACGCTTCTCCTCGCCACTGTTGTCACTGACCCTAAATTTGAGTCCTCTGTTGCGTCTGCTCTAGTCGCTGAGTTAGTTGACTTTGCTGCCGCCTGTCGTCTAGACTACGCAGCTAGCCTTGCTGCTGAGTCTGAGTGTGTCTGTCCTTCGTCCGTCGGGGGTGAGTGTGCTCTTGGCACGGACGTCCTTGAGGACAGGCAGGAGGAGCTCCAGTGCCTTGCTGCTGCTTTACCTCGTCTGGTGTCCATGCTTGTTGCCCCTGAGGGAGACCCGGATGCACCAGACATCCCGACCCCGCGCTCTTACGCAGAGGCGATAGAGGGTCCCTACTCCTCTCAGTGGCAGACAGCCATGGACGCCGAGATGGCTTCCTGGAAGTCCACAGGCACCTACGTCGACGAGATTCCCCCACCTGGGGCGAACATCGTCAGTGGTATGTGAATTTTCAGGGTGAAGCGGCCGCCGGGTTCTCCGCTTGTCTTCTCCGCCCGACCCCAAAGATGACCACTCTTCGAGCTCTACTGCACGTCGCCGCTCAGCGTGACTACGAAGTTCACTCTCTTGACTTCATCACATCTTTCCTACCCGGCAGCCTGCACGAGGAGATCTGGCTGCGCCGCCCACCTGGCTTCACTGGGTCGCTCCCTGCTGGTACCCAGTGGAGCCTCCGGCGGCCAGTCTACAGTCTCCGCCAAGACCCGTGAGTGGCACGACACACTGAAGACTACTCTTGCTGCTCTTGGGGGTGCTCTTTCTACTGCTGACCGTCGCTGTTTCTATGCACCGACACCACTGTGCCGCCGTTCTACGTTCTCGTGTACATTGACGACCTGGTCTCTGGTACTGCTGACACTAAGGCACTCGCCCACGTGAAGTCGGAGCTGCAGAAAAGACACACGTGCACAGACCTGGGTGAACTGACAAGCTATCTTGGCTTGCAGATCACCCGGGACAGAGCACGCCGCACCATCACCCTGACTGAGTCACACATGGTGCAGCAGGTCCTTCAGCGCTTCCGCTTCACGTACTCCTCGCCTCAGTCCACTCCTCTGCCTCCTGGTCACTCGCTCTCAGCTCTGCCTTCGGATGAGTCCGTAGAGCCGAGTGGCCCGTATCCAGAGCTTGTGGGCTGCCTCATGTATCTGATGACCTGCACTCGACCTGACCTTGCATACCATCTTAGCATCCTAGCACGCTATGTTGCTCCCGGCCGTCACCGGAAGGAGCACATGGATGCCGCTAAGAGGGTGTTGCGCTACTTGTGCAGTACGTAGGGCATGGGGCTTGTGCTTGGAGGACGGAGCGACGGTGTCCTCACTGAGCACATTGACGCTTCTTGGGTTGACGACTAGGCTACACAGCGGTCGTCACAGGGTTACACCTTCAGCCTTGGCTCTGGTTCAGTCCTTTGGCATTCTACACGCTCGTCTTTAGTTCTCAGCTCTAGTTGTGAGGCTGAGATCTACGCCACAGCCATGGCTGCACAGGAGTTACGCTGGCTCACCTACCTGCTGACCGACCTGGGAGAGTGGCCTCGTTCCCCTCCAGTGCTGTACGTCGACAACAAGGCCACCATTGCCTTGTGTCAGTAGCACAGATTGGAGCACAGAAGGAAGCGCATCGCTCTGCGCTAGTTCCTTGCTCGAGAGTTGCAGCAGCGTGGTCAGCTTCGTCTTGCTTACGTGGCCACTTGGGCCAACACTGCTGATGTGTTCACCAAGGCGCTTCAGCCTTGTGATCATCAGTGTTTCTGTACTCTTCTCGGCCTAGTGCCTACTGTGCCTCACTTGCTTACTTCTTAACTCTGCTTGTACTGTGATCGCTCTATATATATATATACCTGCATGCTTACACTTGCTAGGTTGTGATCACTGTACCTCTTGTTATATTATCAAACTGCATGTGAACTGATCTTGTGACCGCTTGCTTGTGCTTGGAATTTGTGTGGTTTCCTTGAGATCCACCCTGAGCTTGCTTTGCTTTGCTTTGACTGGTCTTGTGACCATCTGGCTGTCCCCCACTTTGCCTATGGGGGTGTGTCAAACATTATACATGTTTATATTGTGTAGGCTATAGTGGGTTTAGCCTTAGGGGGTACAACTTTGCTAGGGTTTCCTACTTGTATCACCCTGTTGACTAGTTTCATTCATCCTCGTGCAGAACTAGATTCTAACAGAGTGGGCGCTGCTTGACGGCTGCGATGCAGATGAGGATCCGTACTGAGGTGTGCCGTCCGACCGGTGCATAGGTGAGTTCGAAGTCCATCATGTGTCTTTGCTCGAAGCCGTGCACCACCCATCGCGCTTTGTATTTGTCGATGGATCCATCCGTGAGTGTCTTGATGCAGGACACCCATTTTCCGCTGAGAATTTTTCTCCCCTTCGTAGATGTGCGGGGAACGAGCTTCCAGGTACCACGGCTCTTGAGCGACGCGATCTCCTTGGCCATGGTTGTTTTCCATTTCTCATTGTCGGGGACGGAGAGAGCCTGGCGAACAATGGTGGGTTTCTTGGGGAAGGTGTGGCGAACAGCGACGGCGAGACCAAGGATCCGGAGTCCAGTTTTGTTGGTCTTTTTGTAGTGCAGGCGATCGTAGTCGTGAAAGCTGGTTACTTCCACCACATCGTCGTCACTTTCGTGGCCAGGGCGAATGGAGTCTTGCGAGGTGTTTGGCTGTGGTAACGCCGCATCTGGTGACTGGCGGGTGTTGCTCTCGAAGTCGTGGGCTTCGCGAGTTGTATCATCGGGATCAGGTTGGTGTAGAGGGATGAAGGTCGGAGTCTGGAGCGGACTTGTAAGGGGGATGTTGGGTGCGCTGTCAAACTGGGTAACATTTGCTGCATCCACATCTTTCGCCAGGTCAGCTTCATCGTGTGGAGTTCCGAAGCTGCGGTGTCCCTCGAAAACCCATTCCGGTGCCTTGTCCGCTTCGCGGTGTTCGTTGAACAGTGGCAGAGTCAGCTTCTCGTAGAAGATGCAGTCACGTGATTTTGTCACTCTGTGTGTCGCGTAGTCCAGCACGATCCACGCCTTGTATTTTTTTCGATTCCGAGGTGGATACCCCAGCGAGCTCGGTCAGCAAATTTTCCGGTCCGTGCTATGTATGGTATGTACTATACCATGTAGCCAAAAACCCGAAGCAGACGCGTGTCCACTTTTCTGCCCGTCCACGCCTTGTAGGGGGAGTTGTTGTTCTCGAGGCTTTGGGAGGACAGCAAGTTGTGCAGTCGGACCGCATGGTTCATGGCGAACGGCCAGTGTTGTGTTGGGATGGCCGACTGCTTCATTAGGGCCCTCATTCTGGTGGCGAGGCTCCTGTTTGTCCGTTCTGCTACTCCTTGCTGCTCGTGAGCGTAGGGTAGGGACACCAGGTGTTCAATCCCTTTCTTCCGGAAGAGCTCCTTGAACTCGTCTGAGAAGAACTCCAGAGCTCTGTCTGTCTGCCAGCTTTTCAGCTTGAGTCCCGATTGTCGTTCAGCTCGCTTCATCCACGCGATGAAGCACTAGAAGGCAAATGACCTGCACTCGGTGTTGATAGCCTAGACGTAGCGAGTACTCATTTCGATGAAGGTCAGCGTGTAGTATTCGCCATCGAGTCCTTCCCGCGTCAGGCACATGAAGTCGCTGTAGACCTTATCGAGCGGTTTGTAGCGTTCGTAACCGGGCGGTAAGTCAGGGAAGGGCTTGTGAGCGAGCGACGCGGTGGGACACACTGTGCAGGACGGGTCGTCGGAGTTTGCGGTAAGGAATCCTTCGCGTGGAAGGAGTAGTGCTTCGTTGTCGAGGACGCCAGCCCGCAGAGAGTTCTTGAGTGTTGTGTGAGAGGGATGCCCGAGCCGCTGATGCCAGATTTCTAGTCCCGCACGGTAACCGACCGTTTTCTGATAATATTTGTGTCTTGCTACTTCGCCGTTTGCCTTCCCTTCAGGTCCTGCATCGGCGGCGTCGTCAGCGTCGGCGGCGAACGCGCGAATAGACTTTCGTTCCAGAAGCGCGTATGGAATACCGATGATGTCGTCAGTGTCACCGGCATCGACTTAGTCTTCGGTAACAAGCAGGCACTGATTGGGCCAGTCGCGGACTGGGAGTCCCTTCATGGGAATGCGATAGTAACTGAACTCGCTCCCGATGACCTCGATTTCTTGTGGTCCTTGTTTTGGCGGCTCCGGTACCTCGGTAGGTCATGGTAGTTCAGTTGCTTCTCCGAAGAGTTGAAATAGATAGTAATCGCCATGGAGGGGGGGAGCAGTGCAAGCTGTGCGTCAGTGCAGGCAGCGCGGTAGCTAGAATCCAGTGAACGCAGGTGAGCGATCAAGGCAGCAGAGTGCTCAAACGAGGCGAGGTCAGGAAATAGGAAGGGGAGGAATAGGCGGCCGAGAGAGACAGTGGTGGGAGTAGCGTAGCAAGCCTTAATCGCTGTCATGAACTCACTAGTCGTGCGAACCTAGGTGAAGTGGGTCTCCTCAGACTCAGAGAGGAGGCTGTTGAGGGCGATGCAGGCCGCTGACGTCTAGGCCTCCAGGCGTCCAGGCCTCCAGGCTGTTGAGGGCGATGGAGGTCGCGAGACCTTCAGGCTGTCACCACAGCACGCTGACGTGCAACACGATCTCTGTCCGCAGTGGTGGTGGCAGCGCCTAAGGAATCAGGATCAGGGGGCGCACGGAGGTCACCAGAAGCGTACGTTCACGGAGACTCGTCTGCCTGAACCTGTCTCTCTAGGAGACGCTACGCACGCAGGAGCCAAACATAGAACTCGAGCGGCCTACCCTCGCCGTCAAATCAGAGGACTCTGGTCGTCGCCTAGTGGAAGCGTGGAGAAATGGCAGGTGAAAACTGCCTAGAAGGCCGAAGTAGTGTGTGGCAAGCAGTGCGTGACGTGACGAGAAGAGAGGGATGTGACAGGACGGGCACAGCGCAATGAGAAGGACAGGCGTGGCACGACTGGGAGGCACGACGCGATGGGACGGGACGGGCGGACGCAACGCAACGCGACGGGACGGACGGGCGCGACGCGACGGACGGACGGGACGGGACGATACGGGACGGGACGGACGGGCGCGACGGACGCGACGTGACGGACGGACGGGACGCGACGGACGGACGGGACGGACGGGATGGGACGGGATGGTACGGGACGGGACAGACGGGACAGACGGGGCGGATGGGATGGACGGGACGGACGTGATACGATGGACAGACATGACGGACGGGATGGGATGGGACGAACGCGACGGACGCGACACGATGGATGGACGGGACGGACGGACGGGACAGACGGGACGAGACGGGACGGACGCGACGCGTCCGGCAGGTGCGATAGGACGGGACGGGACGGGACGGGCAGGCGCGACACGGCGTAACGGGATAGACGAGCGTGACGCTACGGGCAGGTGCTACGGGCGCTAGGGAACGAGACGAACTGGCGCGACAGTGCTTGGGGACGGTACGGGCGCTCCGGGTGCTAGGGTACGGGAGGAACGAGATCCCACTGGATCCTAACCTAGGTAATACCAATGTCAGAAACCAAATGGATGATGGACTATTGTGGGTTGGGGAACATAAACCTAACCATATATGCTGTACCCCATATGACACGCATCACTAAAGGCTACAACATTTGACAAACAAGGACTATAACATGGGGTGGTACAACATGCAGGATTAGCAACCAGCACCTACAACAGCACCCCGGGCGTGAGTCCACCGCCATGGGGTAGCCCATGCCGAGGCCAAGCACCAGTAACACCAATGCCAGGAAAAAATCATCTACTCTGCCAAAATCCATAGCAGGCGCCCAACCATCCAGTGTAACACGGATGCGGCAGTCAGTATTAAATCGAGCGGGGCCTGCCGGGCAAATAACGACAGCTGCCTCACCGCAGTAGGCCCAGGGCCCGAGGCAATGTCGGGAGAGCCCATCTCTAAGCCGAGGTGTTGAAACGACTGCAGCATCTCGAAGGCGGCTCCAACAACAACTTCATGCTCCTCGTGCGACAACCCCAGACAAGCAATGTGGCGATGCATCAAACACGAATGTAGCTGGTCCAGATTCGATGCCAGCTGGTCCAGGCACGACACCACGGTCACAACGCGCTGTTTGTCGCGGAGGAGTCACTCCACAGGCGGATTCTCTTCCCACAGGCCCCACTACTCGTCCGGCGGATTCTCTCCACAGAATCAGCAGAAGGAACCTGAGTTCCCAAAGCCTCCCAGGGGATCGGAATGCGCCACCCACCAAGGTATAGATGAGGGTACTCGTGCACCTGCTGAAGAGAAGGAGGCGACTGCTGAGAGGGGGGAGGCAATGGTTGATGCTGTTGTACCAGCAGTTGATCTGACTGCAGCGGAGAGTGTTCGGGGAGGGGAAGGGGAGGAACAAGAGCAGGCGGAGGAGGATCTGACGAGCACAGAGACGGACCGGACACAGTTGGGGGGTAGACCGGAGATGGAGCGAGTGGTAGGGGTGCCTGCGGAGGTGGGAGCGGCGTCTACGGTGGAACGGCATGAGGAGGAGGGAGGGGTGGACGGAACGACTGACGCTGGGTGCGCAGAAACGACTATTGCTGACGAGTGCGAAAATGCAACAAGCATAGCATATCTTCGCCCGTCTTAAATACAATTCCATCGAGCATACGTAAAGGACGTGAACTGTTGCGTGGAATTTGCTTTGAGAATGTTCCTAATTGCCATAAACCAACACCGATGCCAAAACCTAACGCATTACAGAAAGATTACTTCCATATTAATTCATCTCATCAACTCCGTAAGTGCAAGAAATATATTATGCACGATATATATCATTGTGAGTTGGTATATTTTCTAGATGCTTCAAAGTTCCCTTTTAGGGTACATTCCGCTCAGGACATGTCACAAAAGAAAGGGTCACAAATGTATTAGTGATTAATTGTGAGATCCGAAATCACATTCGTGACTAATTGTGTATGGCCGAAAATCATGAATAGCAAGATTCCAACCATTCCCGGAAAGACATCTAGCTAGATCGTGACTGGTCTTGGCTCGAAGCATCACAATTTGTCACGGTTTTTTTATCAATGTATCACAATTAGTCCCGAACATTGTTTTAGGAGCATTACAATTAGTCACAAATACGATTGTGACACTTTCTTTTGTGACATGTCCTGAGCCGAATGTACCTTTAGATGCACTCCTTGTCACTCTCTAGCTTCTTCTTTGCACCTTTCTCCACTACTTCGTCTTGAGATAGCAACTGTCGATTGAAGGGCAACTCCACATCCATCTCACTTCCCCCAACATCCTCCCTCCCCTCCCAACCCTCTCCTTGCAACTGCATTATCCTTCTCTCAATCAGCTGAATCCTCCACTCCCTCTGAAGCTGCTCTAACTCAAGCTCCACCCCTTGTTCTTCCTGTAACTTCTCCCTAGCGGCGACTATGTCATTTATTGTCCCTTTCAATCTTATTTCGCTTAAAGAGCCTACACTGAAAGATCCCACTCTATGGCCTGGCCTCACAGAACCTTCTGATTTCTCCAGCAAAGAGCTTGCGGAAGGCTCAATGCCAAGATATGTTGCCAAGCTTGCACTCGGGGTTTGCTGGGACCATGCCTGAGACGAAGGTCCGGCCAGGCCAGGTGGATATCTCGCTAGACTCGGTGAAGGTACTGCCATACCAGAAGGCTTCAATCCTGGAAAAGACACTTGGTTGCTTGCAACTGTAGCAGGATGAGGCGACTGGAGCTCTATTGTTCTTACTCCTTCTCTTTCTCCTCCTCCTCCTCCTCCTCCTCCTCCTCCTCCTCCTCCTCCTCCTCCTCCTCCTCCTCCTCCTCCTCCTCCTCCTCCTCCTCCTCCTCCTCCTCCTCCTCCTCCTCCTCCTCTCTCTGCACCCACTAGCACCGGTGAAGACCGGTAATGATCTGCACTAGCAGCACCTACTCCAAGCCTCACACCAGAGCTGACACTGTATCCTGCTCCTGATGCTGTTCCTGCTGCAGCGCCAGCGTTAAATCCCGATCCAGCAGCAAATCCAGGTCCGGTCGCCAAACCAGAGCTGCCAGCTGCCAAACCAGCTTCCATTGCCGAGCCTAATCTGGCATGAGGGGACCGAGAATCACCACCAATCCCAGCAGCAGTTTCAACAACAGCACCAGACGCAGCAGCTGCTGCAGCAGCATCAGCGAAAGCAGAGGGGACAGCAGCATCAGCAGAAGAAGTCTCCATTCTGCCTGTCCTTCCAAATAAGTCTGCTCCTGGGAATGACCCTGCTTTGCCAGACCAACTGAAGGTAGAGTGACCTGTGAGGCTGAAAGGTGAACCTCCGGCAGCAACAGCACGGGGGAGCAAAGCAGCAGAGCCACTACCCGGGTCAGCAGAGCCACCCCTGAAGCCAGTAGTGGCAGGATAACCACCAGTAGCACCAGCAACTCCAGTGGAAGCAGCAGCAGTGAGGCTTGAAAAGGCCATTGCCTCATGGCTTAAACTATGCAGGGGGTGCATTGGTGAAGCACCAGCGCCACCAGGAGCACCAGCAGCACCAGCAGCAACACGAGAGAGTGATGCAGCAGCACCAGCAGCACCAGCAGCACGAGCAGCACGAGCATCACCAGCAGCACCAGCAGCACCAGCAGCACGAGCATCAGCAGCAGCATCAGCAACACCAGAGGAAGCAGCAGCCCTGATAGTGGAAAACGCCCTGGCATCGTGGCTGAAACTGAATAGTGGGTGCATACTTGAAGCACCAGCGCCATCAGCAGCAGCAGCAGCAGCAGCAGCAGCAGCAGCAGCAGCACGAGGAAGCAAAGCAGCAGAACCAGCAGCACCAGAGTAAGCCGCAGCAGCAGCTGTGACACTGGAAAAGGCCTTGGCATCATGGCTGAAACTGAACAGTGGGTGCATAGGTGAAGCACCAGCACTACCTGTGCTAGCTGCACCAGCAAGAGCAGAGGCAGCTGGGCTGGAAAAGTCGATCCCATCATGGCTGAAACTGCGCGGCGGCTGCTTATGTGAGGCATCAGCACCACCAGCACTAGAGGCACCAGCAGCACTGGCACCATCCGCAGCAGCACCAGGAACCAACGAAACAGAGCCAGCACCAGAATCAGCAGCAGCAGCAGCAGCAGCAGCAGCAGTGGCAGCAAAACTACCAGCGGCACCAGCAGCACCGCCAACAGCAGCAGGATCAAGTGGTAACTGGAAACGGGTCCCAGGGAGTTGGTGCCGCATTCCCAGTGACTCTGCTGCAGTCAGCAGCTTGGCTGCAGTCAGTGATTGCGCTGCAATCAACGATTGGGCTGCACTGAGTGATTGGGCTGCACTGAGTGATTGGGCTGCAGGCAGAGATTGTACTGCATGTGGTGAGAGCACCCCAGGTGGATCCGCCTGTGCGGCTGGGGACTGTGGTGCCACAGCTGCCTGCTGAACGGTCTCTGCCTCTCGATCTGCGGGCCAAGTGAGGGGGAAGGCGGGGAGAGAGGGTGTGAGCAAGGGAGGGGTGGTGAGAGCACCCCGGGTGGATCCGCCTGTGCGCACGGTTACTGGGTAATGAATCTCTGCCTCTCGATCTGCGGGGTCGTGTGAGGGGAGACAAGGAGAGAGTGTGTGCAAGGGAGACAAGGAGAGAGTGTGAGAAAGGGAGATAAGGAGAGGGTGTGAGCAAGGGAGACAAGGAGAGAGTGTGAGCAAGGGAGATAAGGAGAGGGTGTGAGGAAGGGAGACAAGGAGAGAGAGTGAGCAAGGGAGACAAGGAGAGAGTGCGAGCATGGGCAAGGTGGAGAGGAGTTAAATTGCACAGCAACGAAATGCAATACCATTCACAGGTGAGAGGGATGCATGCACGCACCCTAAGGAGCGGCATATAGAAGGAATGTATGCACGCATTTGCTTCTACAGGTGGACAGACCTTTGTCCACAAGTCTCAAAAACCCTCAAATGGAATGCTCTTGCACCAAGTTTTGGGGTTTACGGTTCTTGATCTGGTTTTCTCACCTCGCCTATGGGCGTTCATGTGGCCACCCAGGCCCTGCGGCTGGGCAAATCTCTTGCCGCAGAACCGACACGCATACAGCAGCACCTCTTCACACCCCGTTGAACCCCTCCGCAGCTCCAGCACCATCCAGGACACAGAAGAGGCTCTCGTTGCCCCTGATGCTGCAGACGCTGCTGCTTGTTGCCCCTCCTGCTGTCGCTGTTGCTGCTGCTGTTGCCGCTGTTGCTGCTGCTGCTGCTGCTGCTGCTGCTGCTGCTGCTGCTGCTGCTGCTGCTGCTGCTGCTGCTGCTGCTGCTGCTGCTGCTGCTGCTGCTGCTGCTGCTGCTGCTGCTGCTGCTGCTGCTGCTGCTGCTTCTGCTGCTGCTGCTGTTGCTCCCCCTCCTCTTGCTTCTGCTGTAGAGGCGGTGGCTCCAGCTCCTGCTGTCGCTTCTCGTGCTGCAGCATTGCCACTGAAGTTTTCTTCTCTGCTGTAAATTGCAGTGCTGTGCCCGCCGCTGCTCCAGGAGACGTGAAAATGGTAGCAGCAACAGCAGCAGCTGCGGCAGCAGTGGCGGTAGCAGCAGTTGTGGCTGAGGAAGCAGCAGCAGGGGCACTGACAGTGGGTCTGTTGCCTGAAGCCGCAGAGACAGAGGCAGACAGAGACGCAGCAAGGGAAGAGGTAGAAGCTGCAGAAGCAGACGAGGAAGAGGAATCAGGCGAAGCAGAAGGAACCGAACGCGACGCAAACAGGGAGAAACTAGCATAACCAGGAGCGTCAGCAAGAGCAGCAGAGGGTAGTCTCTCCTCGTACGGGTGGTGCCTTTGCTGCTTTCGCCTCATTCTCACTGGAGAAACTGCAGGGGCTCGAAAACCTCCTGCTGTCACAATCTCTGCTGTCACGTCTCGTATAATCACATCCTCTGCTGCCATATCTCCGCTGCTCTCTTTTGCTGTTTCCATATCCGAGGTTGTCAAATTCCCTGCCGTCAAACCATTGTAATCTGCAGCAGCCTCTGATCCTGCTGTTGCTCCTATCAGCTGCATTGCAAGCATTGCCCCTGTGACTGCCCCTTCTGACCCACCAGCCACTGCTGCAACTTCTGGGGACAGTAACATTCCATCATTAGGTAATGTAGCGATTGAATCAGGAGGTATGGCGGCTGTGATTGGGGTACTAGCAACTGAATCAAGAGACATGGCAACTGGTCTATGAAAGACCTTAGAAGCATGTGTATGAGATAGGGAGAGAGAAGGACCAGTGGTGCTGCTGGTTTTAAGAGGACTTTTGAGATTGCCGGTGCTGCTGGGACTGCTGGTTGTTCTGGGGTAGGTATAGCGGCTGGTGTGGCTGCTGGCAACAGTTCCTGGCGTTCTCCTTGCTTCTGCCCATTGCTGCCTTCCTTGCTCTGACGTATCCGCTGCTGCTGCTGCTGCTTTGCCTCCTGCTGCGTCTCCTGCTGCGGCTCCTGCTGCGGCTGCCGCTGCACCTGTCCTTCGTCCTTGAAACTTGGAAGCAGTGGGAGCAGCGGAAGCAGCAGCAGAAGCAGCAGCAGAAGAAGCTGCGGGTCCTGTTTTCCAGCTGGGCGGGATCGTCCATGGATCTACCATGCGAGGCATCTGATTAGAGGGGAAGGAAATCAGAGAAAAGGTGGGAGCGACTCCCTGCGAGGGCTGAGGAGTAGGACCAGGTGGTGAGGGATTGGGGGGAGTGGAGTATGGGACGGCTGTATGTTGTTGTGGATCAGCAGTAGGACCACCGGCAGCAGTAGATCCTTGATGTATAATCATGAGATCGTGGTTGTGATGTGATGGGAGTGGGTTCGGCCCAGCACCAGCAGCAGCGGTAGCAGCAGCAGAAGCAGGACGAGGAGGAGCAGCAGCACCAGCGGCAGCAGCAGCAGTGGTGGGAATACGATGCGTGTTGAACCATGATGAATCCATGGCAAAGCTCGTCGCCATGTCCCCCCCCACTAACGCTTGGCCCAGCAACGCTTGGTCCAGTAACGCTTGGTTCAGCAAGGCTTGGTTTAACAAGCTCTGGTTAAGCATGCCGTGATCCAGCATCCCTTGGCCCATGAATGCTTGATCCGCCAAGGCTTGATGCAGCAATAATTGGTCAATCAGTGCTCGATCTAGCGACGCTGGATCCACCAATGACTGATCCAGGAGTGATTGGTCCAACATGCCTTGATCCAGCGAGCCTTGATTCAGCATTCCGTGATTCAGCATGCCTCCGTCAAGCAATTCTTGGTCCAGGGTCACGAGTGCAGGGTCGACAGATGTCTGATCGACCAATGCAGGGTCGGGCAAAGTAGGGCTGGCCAATGCAGGGTCGGGCAAAGTAGGGCTGGCCAATGCAGGGTCGGCCAAAGCAGGGTCAGCCAATGCAGGGCCAGCCAATGCAGGATCAACCAATGCAGGGCGAACCAATGCTGGGTCAACCATTGCTGTGTCAACCAATGCTGGGTCAACCAATTGCGAATCTACCAAAGGCGGATCGACCAGAGCCAAGCCAGACAATGCCTGAGCGTCCAATGCAGGGTCCAAGACCATCGCCTCCCGCCTCCCCATTCCATCCTCCTGTTCGTCTCCGGCTTGAGACGAAAGTGCTTGCTCCAGTGTCAAGCCTTCCTTTTCCATGTTCAGACCTTCGGCAGTCGACCTCCCCTCCTCACGGCATTGATAGTCACTTCTGCCAGTACAAAATTGCGTGGAACATGTTCCAGTCACGCCGAATTCAACTCAGCTTTTTCGTCCACCAAATTTTGCAGATTCACATGACTCATGATTTGATCCTCCCAAGGCCGATCCTTTCAGTGACAGAAACGTCTGGTTGGGAGTTGCTTGGTGACCTCTTGCTGGTGTCTGAGTCATGCAACCCAACTGTCCATTCTCCGCCTCAAACCTCCATTGTCAGACGTCAGCTTCAGCTTTTCCGTCTCAGCTCTCCATCTTGGAAGCAGGAGACTCAGCACGTAAGGATCATGAGAGAGCCTTACTTTCAAGTAGAGGCCACTGGCTCTCTGAGGGTTAAGTAAGTCGAGTTTCAGACTGGAGCAGCATCATTCTCGTTAGTCAGACGTCTCTAAGGGAGAGCAGGCCACAAGTTTTTTTTTTTTTTTTTTTAAAGAACGACGAAAGCTGTGTCACTGTGTGTGAAGAACCACCTCGACCACTTCCAGTTGATTGGTGAGAGCTAGTATGACTCGTTGATTCGAATCCATGAGCTACAGCTGCCGCGCTTCTAACTAGCTCATTGAAAGTTATCAAACAGGTGGCTAACTCTCACTTAACTCTAGTAGAGTTCTGTCACACGAATTGTAGGAAACGGAAGAAAGAAAGAAAAGAAAGAAAACTTGGGCGATGCGGACTTTGGTACCGTACGACTACTAGTCGTAATACTAATAGTAGTACTAGTAGCATGCCAGCAAGGTTTCTGCACATTGTGTTACTATTGACCCATATGATTGTCTCGCTCTTGCTATATTAGTAGGTTCATCATGGGGGGTGTCTGAAAAAGAAAGGGAATGGAGAAAGAAAGGGAGAAGGAAGGTTTCTGCATGCTTGACTCCATTTAGCCTGGCATAACTATTTGGATAGGTTTTTTGGAGGTGTTCTTAACAGCAATGATCGAGTGTTTCTGTACCCCAAAGCGCCAGCGGCTGCCTAGCCTGTCGTTCGCTCAGAGGGTGATAGATGCATGAATTTGCAGCTGGCGTTGTGAATAGAACTCGCTCGAGCGTGCCAAGCGTTCTCTTGAGTTGTACACGTACAAAGAAGCTACTCTTGTTCGAGATAGGACAGCTCCGAAATCCCGATCTTGATATTTTTAAAGATTGCTGTTTCTGTCGAAACTGTGTCGTATCGTAGCATTCGTCGTGGCATGGGATCTGTGTCGTGCGGTGTCTTCTGCTCTTCCAATTCTCCTGGCTGGAAGGTTGCGACTAGGATGCACCGGATTGAAAGAGGGCACTAGATTATGAGCATGACCAAGCTCATTGAAAACCTTCCGACCCTAGTGCAGCGTACATCAATCACGCCTTGTATTTCCTATGCCCGTGGACTCCGTACAGTTTTTTAGCACGCTCTTTTGAGAACTTGTGACTCGAAGCACCCGAACAAGCCACCAGCTCCATGCTATACCGGCAGCGGTACAGTGTTCCATATTCCCAGCTGTCAGAGATTTGATATAATTAAGAACAGCGAGCATATCAACAAACGAAAAACCGCGTTTGCGAGAACCATACAAGCAAACCGACAGCTAGAAACGCGGCTTTGCACAGTTCACGTAAGAAATCAGATACTCTTTGGGAGGTTTGAGAAGATTGCAATATCGGGGAGACCCTCCCATTTTGTGAGTGGAGAGGAGACTCGTTTTGTTATTTTTTTTTTTGGGTTGAGAAGCAGCCCTTTACGATCGATTTTGACAGTTTTTTTTCATGTTTTTTTAAAGAGAACATGAAAATAAGATCCGTAAGCTACAGTACCACCCTTCCCATTGTGCATGTTGAATATTGATAGCAGTCTTTGTAGTAATTATGTGTGTAAATGCTACCGTATAGTGTTTATATTATATCTGTTAATGTTTGATGTTGTTGTGATAATTGCATGTAATAAATGTTATGAATACTAGTAATGAACTACACGCCACGCATGCTTAAATGAATGTAATGATGAGACATGATATATCGCGCATACCTAATACACATATATGCATGAAAATGCTTTTGTATGCATATGATATGTTGAAATGCACCACACTGTCAGAACATTATAGCTTACTTATTTGTGTAGGCTATAGTGGGGTATCCCATAGGGGGTACAACCCAATTAGGGTTTCATATTTGTACTCACTTCATTCATAGTTCATCCATTTTTCTCGTTCGCTTCTCCTCATGGAATCAGAGCAGGTTCCCCTGTGGGAACTGTGCTTAGGGCCCACCACTTAGAATTTTTTTTCTGCCCTAGCGCCTTGCGCCCTAGCGCCTGCCCTAGCGCCCGCCCTAGCGCCCTAGAGCCCTAGCGCCCGCCCTAGCGGTCGCCTTACCGCCCGCCCTAGCGCCTGCCCTAGCGCCCTAGTGCCCGGCGCCCTCCCTAGCGCCCTTTCGCCGCCCGCGGCCTGTCCGTGCGCTGCCGCCCGTGCGCCGCCGCCCGTGAGCGCCGCCCGTGAGCGCCGCCCGTGAGCACCGCCCGTGAGCGCCGCCCGTCATCGCAGCCGCCCGTCAACCGCCGCTGGTGCGCCGCCGCCCGTGACGCCGCCGCCCGTGAGCCGCCGCCCGTGAGCCGCTCGCCCGTGAGCCGCTCGCCCGTGAGCCGCCCGCCCGTGAGCCGGCCGCCCGTGAGCCGCCCACGACGCCGACGCCGCCGACGCCGCCCGTGCACCGCCAACGCCGCCGACGTCACCTGTGAGCCGCCGACGCCGCCGACGCCGCCCGTGAGCCGCTGACGCCGCCGTCGCCGCCGAC